TAATGACTTCACATGGGATCTGATGCCGCATGATGACATGGCACGTGCAATTAGCTGCAATAATGGCATGAGGGGAATAATGATGTGTTTACGGATGAGTCGCTCCCACCTACCCCCCCTCCCTTCGTGGGCTTCGAGGTGAATTATGCTGATGATGGTTCGTCAGTAACAACAAAATTAGGTGTGGCGCGCTCTCTTTTCCGCTGGCCGCCGTGTGGGTTATGCGCACGTTGCTTGTTGGGTGTCTTAATCAACGGATACATCTTTATAGGGGAAATACTTTTCTCTTTTGCTAACTCAGTGTGTTTATATGTAATGCAAACTCTCTGTCTGTCTTTCTTTCTGTCTCTGTCTCTCTCTATCTATCAATCTATCTATCTATCTACATCTCTCTTTCTATTTATCTATCTATCTATCTATCTCCCCTCCTCTCTCTCTCTATCTCTCTCTCTCTCTCTCTTTCTCTCTCTCTCTCTCTCTCTCCCTCTCTCTCCCTCCCTCTCCCTCTCTCTCTCTGTTCAAAGTATACCAGGGTAAAGTATATCTCTTGTTCCTCTGGCGACGGCTGATACATGTGCTGAATTACAGTTTTCTTTCGTAATCCCAGAGTCCAATTACAGTTTCCTTTGTTTAGCTTAGAATTCCCACTTTGATATCATTAATGCCCATGACAGAACAGAGAGAACGGTTTTTTATGTTATTTTTTTCTGTTCTGGGTATTATGTTTTATAAAATGTTCCATATAAAATATGATGTATGACAATGCTATGATAAATATATCACTGACTTCAGAAATAACATATCACAATTTTATGTTCGGTGGATGAGCATTTTTATGTTATTTTAATAACCTTAAGAAAATGTGAAGGGAATGTATTTTGAACTGAGATTATAAGATGAAGGTTAAGTAGGATTTTAACAATAAGAGATCCACATTTTAATGTATTTTGTACTATAAATATGTTATCATTGGGAGCAGCCCCACTTGCAAGAACTTCCAATGTGAACGTAATCTCCCTTCCCACAAAAAACAGTAGTATTTGCAGTTGATTTGCAACAAAAATAATCTCTGATATAAGCAACTACAGATTTCCTAATATACAAAAATGCATATACATTCTTCCTGTCACTAGTACTTAGTTGTGAAGTGTCTGGAGGGGTACTTTTGTATACCGGCCAGCGCAAACGGCCAAGGAGACTTGAGCGAATGACACGTTTTGTCGTTCAGTCGAAAATGACGAAAAAAAATGGAACAATGTAGGAAGTATATGGTCATTTTAATTTATTATTAAGATTAACCTGTCAGTAGTCCTTAATCTAACTGCTGTTACATATCACACACCTGCAACTACAAAGAGGAAAAAGACAAAAGAGTAACATTGGCCATCATTCTCGCGAGTAATCGTCATCAATAACTCAAGTTTGAGAATCCCACGCGCAGAGGCGCCGCAGCGAGCGCCTACGTATCCAACGCTCTCTGAGCCGCTCTATAACATTCTGTCGGCGCCATGTAGTGGCCTCTGTATAGCGCCTCTCAAGATAAACAGTTATAGTATTAGAAAATCATAAAATATACAAAGAGACGAAGCGGAGCTCTCGCTATGTCCGTGGCGTATGTTAGTATGTGCGTGGAAAGCTTCTCGCCGAGGCAGCCGTCACCTAGCCACGCCTTCTTGCGCCACACGGCGCTGTCATTGGCGGCGCGACTGATGTTTTGGGCGGGATTACGTAAAGGGGGCGGGGCTGGCGCGGGGCCGACACATGGTAGGGCGGCGGGGCGCTGCCGCTCGAGGAATACTGGAGAGTGCTTACCGCGGGCCTCGTGCTGCTCGGCTCACGTTACGTGGTGTTGTGTGCACCCTTGTGGCGCGCGCCGGTTGCACGTGTTGTGTTTTAAGGCACGCCGCGCTGCTCTCGTTGCCAGCTTACTTTCTCTTTCACATGGGCGTCGGCTGAATGATGCCCTGCGCCCCCCTAATGAAGCCAAAACTCGGCTTCTCCATTGAATCCCTGGTGGGCGGCAAAGGAGGCTCGGAGGGCCGTGGTTCCCCGCCGCTGGCCGACACCTGCAGCGACCGCGGCGTGTCGCCTCCCACCTCCATGCCACCGTCGCCGCTCTCCCCGGGGCCTCCTGCCTTCAGCGACCTTCGGGCGCCGTTGGCCATGCGGGCCCTCCTCGAGGACAAGCCGCTGCCCATCCAGAGGCCGCAGCCCATTAATGGCGCCACACAAAGACCTTCTCAGGAAGTGAGTCTGCCGCCCTCGCTCCTGGCTGCAGCGAAGCTTCCCACGGGCTTCCCGCCCGCCCTCCTGCCGCATCAGCTCAACCTGGCCGCATTGCCACAGCTGCAGGGACTTCCCGGGGCTTTTCCTCCGCATCTGAACCCGCTCATGATGGGTGGGAACGTGCCCGGCCTGGCTGCCCACCTGCCGCGGGAGTACCCCCTTTACCCGTGGTTGCTGTCCAGACACGGCAGAGTCTTCCCCCATGGCCTTCCCAGTGAGTACCTCTGTACTACCGTTATGTTTTATTATCCTTTGCAGTCACTAGTTCTGAGAGTCTGTGTCCAGTCCAATCTAAGTGGAAATATTCCCTGTGGGTGTAGTCTTTTTTTAGCTAATACGAACAGTGAAGACATGTATGCGCCATTCCCTTATTCTACACGGCCTCAGCAGGAGCATACATGACATCACTATCAATTAGATGTGGCATATCCTGTGCAGTTGTATCCTGAAACAGTGACAGACATCCGTGTTTCCATTTTTTCCACATTTAGTTGGCTTGTTTACTGGCCCCTCATGGCCAGCATGGACTGAATAACATATACAGTAATGTTGCATGTAGGCAGTAGCTAAAGCAGATGAGCATGCATGATTGATTTTAGCTGCATGTGTACCGTAATTATGATACTCCTGAGTCATCCCCATAAAAAAAATATATCACCTTCACACCATATTTCTAAATTCATACACTGAAGTAAATTAAGTAAATAGTTATTAGAATAAAAGTCAAGATATTTGGATAAATGTAATTTCTACCGACCCCAAATTTGCCACAGTCAGTCTGAAGCAGCAATACATCTGGGCAGCTCGGAAGCGTGGGTAAACAAACATTGCCTCTACCTGTGTCTCAGGACTATCTGTCTTGTGGCGTTAGCTTATCCCTGTACTGTGCGAACTATATCCTATTTTATCTAAAGCTCTTGTGTTGCAGATGCTTGTGATGCTTGTCAGGCATGAGATTAGATCATACCTCTCTCTCTCTCTCTTAAGCTCTCTCTCTCTCTTAAGCTTTCTCTCTCTCTTAAGCTCTCTCCCTCTCCCTCTCCCTTTCCTTCTCCTTCTCCCTCTCCCTCTCCCTCTCCCTCTCCCTCTCCCTCTCCTTCTCCCTCTCCCTCTCCCTCTCCCTCTCCCTACCTTTCCCTCTCTCCTTCCTCTCACGTGGTTCTCTCATGTTATCCTTCGCCTCTCTCTTTGGCGCCTCCCTCCAGTTTTCTCGATTTATTTTATAGTCTTTCTTACCTCTTTATCCCCCTCTTTCTTCCACGCCCCTTTTAGTCTCCAATTCCGCCTCTCTTCTGGCTTTCATCACGCTGCTCCCCCTCTTCCCCTTTACTCTTAAATCACTTTCCCCCTTTCCCCTTTTCCCTTCCCCTATCCAGAGGGCAAGGGAGGCCCACAGAAACACATATTGTACTAATAGATTTCTCACTAACTGTCGAGGGGCGGAAAAGTGGCGGGGAGGGGGTAGGGGAGGGGGAAGAGTGGGGGAGGGTCAGGAACGGAGTCGCCGAGGACAGCGCAGCGCGAAGTTAAAAGTAAATTGATTTTGCAAAGTCGATTTGATTTACATAAAGTGTGTGTAATCTATTTATAAATTCAAATTTGTAATTAATCACGATGGAAATCTAGCTGTTAACTCTGTATTACACGTGTTTGCTCCTCGCGTCACTGCAATTAGTAATTAGATATTACATTGAGATTTATAGTCGAAAGTACATTAAGCGTGAAAATGTATGATGCTGTATGATATATTGCTAGGATTTTTCTGTTTCTACTGAATGTTGAAAAAGTAAAATATATGCATATTTTGCCACTCTTTTTTGTACGTTCATGGCACTTGTTTATGATATACGATGTGACTTATTTTGTTGCAAGCAATAATAACTGTAACAAAACCAAATGAATAATTGTTCGTATTACTTTACTCCTCACACTGCAATTAAAACAAACAAATATTAGTCACTGGGGAATCATTTTTCTGAAATATGATCTGTCAATACACTTACAATTCTTTAAAGAGACTACATTAGCTTAATAGAAAATTCCAACAAACACCTTAATATATATTCATAATGTAGTGTTTTGATTATTTAGAAATAACAGCCTGTATTGTTTAATATCACCGTGTTAATTTATTGGTACCATGTAAATTTAGTGGTGCTTAAGGGTAGAACAGTGTCTAGCCAGGGCACCACGTTATCGATAATGTAAAGTGGTTGCTAGGGAATGATAGAAAATATGAGAAAGAGAGAGAGAGAGAGAGAGAGAGAGAGAGAGAGAGAGAGAGAGAGAGAGAGAGAGAGAGAGAGAGAGAGAGAGAAAGAGAGAGAGAGAGAGAGAGAGAGAGAGAGAGAGAGAGAGGGAGAGAGAGAGATCTGATCTAATCTCATGAGAGAGAGAGAGATAGAGAGAGAAAGAGAGAGAGAGAGAGAGAGAGAGAGAGAGAGAGAGAGAGAGAGAGAGAGAGAGAGAGAGAGAGAGAAAGAGAGAGAGAGAGAGATCTGATCTAATCTCATGAGAGAGAGAGAGAGAGAGAGAGAGAGAGAGAGAGAGAGAGAGAGAGAGAGAGAGAGAGAGAGATCTGATCTAATCTCATGAGCGAGAGAGAGAGAGAGAGAGAGAGAGAGAGAGAGAGAGAGAGAGAGAGAGAGAGAGAGAAAGAGAGAGACAGACAGACACAGCCACAGACAGACAGACAGATAGACAGACAAACAAACACACAGACACACAGCCAAAAAAAAATCCCCCAAAAAAACAGAAAGACAGACAAACAGACACAATGACAAACGGACAGAAAGAAATACAGACAAATACAAACAAGCATATATACACAGGAACAAACAAAGAGAAAATGGAAAGGGGAGGGATGATGTGCATAATAAGAAGTACACCTTTACAATGATGATGACCAGGAAGGAAAGAGGGATGACAATGATAAAGGTAATACTATTAATAACGATAGTAATCATGACCATAGTAACTCTGATGTCAATGATAATAATACAAATAAAAACAAAGTTAGTAGTAATGGGTCAGAATCATAATCATTGTGATTATATAACAACAGAAAAGTAGGTTCCTTACTATCCGTTTTCTTTATTAATGAGAGAAATAATAGGAAATAATTATTAATGTTGATACTATTATTATAATTATTTTATTGTTATTGTTGTTATTTTTTATTGTTGTTATGTTCTTGTTATTATTGTTATTGTTATATTTATTGTTATTATTATTCTTATATTTATTGTTATTATTATTATATTTATTGTTATTATTATTATATTTGTTGTTATTATTATCATTATTATTATTTTAATTATCATTATCATCATTGATATAATTAATCACCAATAACGTCATCATCATCGTCATAATCTTCATCATCAGTAGTAGTAGTAGTGTCATTATCATTATCATTGTTATTATTGATATTATTGTAAACATCATTATCATTGATGTTATTATCATAATCACCAAACAACAAACAACGCCATTTTTTCATATTCATTATTTTTATTATCATTATCATTATTATATTTTCATCATTACTATATCATCCTTATTATTGTCAACACTATTGTTATTATTATTATTATTATCATTATTATTATTATTATAATTATTATTATCATTATTAGTAGTATTAGTATTAGTATTATTATTATAGTTATTACTATCATTATTATTATTATCAATCTTCTTATTATTATTGTTATGATTATAACAATAATAATAATTATTATTTCTATTTATTAATGATAATGATATCATTATTATTTTTGTTGTAAATCATTATTATTATTACTATTATTTTCATTATTATTATTATCATTATTATTACTATTGTTGTTGTTGTTGTTGTTATTATTATTATTATTATTATTATTATTATTATTATTATTATTATTATTATTATTATTATTATTATTATTATTATTATTGTTGTTATTATTGTTATTATTATTATCATTATTATTACTATTATTATTATTACCATTATTATTATTATTATTATTATTATTATTATTATTATTATTATTATTGTTATTAGTATTAGTATTATTATTACTATTATTATTATTACCATTATTATTTTTGTTATTATTATTATTACTATTATTATCATTATTATTATATTTTTATTATTATTATCATCATTACTATTATCATCATCATCATCATCATTATTGTTGTTATTATTATTATTAATGCTATTACTGTTTTTATAATTATCATCATCCTCATCATCATAATAATAATAATGATAATAATAATAACAATAATAAAATTATTATTATTATTATCATTACTACTGTTATTATTATTATTATTATTGTTATTATTATTATTATTATTATTATTATTATTATTATTATTATTATTATTATTATTATTATTATACTATTGCTATTATCATTATTATTATTATTATCATTATTATTATTATTATTATTATTATTATTATTATTATCATTATTATTATTATTATTGTTATTATTGTTGTTGTTACTATTATTACGAATATCACTATTATTATTATTATTATTATTATTATTACTATTATTATTATTATTATTATTATTATCATTATTATTATCATTATTATTATTATTATTATTATTATTATTATTATTATTATTATTATTATTATTATTATTATTACTATTATCACTATTATTATTATTATTTATTATCATCGTTTTTATTATTATTATTATTTTATTTTTATGATAATAATGTTAGTAATAGTAATAAAGATTTGAAAAAGTAATGACGACGATTCTAATAGTAATGATAATGATGATAATGATAATAACAAAATAATAATTGTAATGATGATAATAATGATAATAGTAATAGTAATAATCATAATAATGATAATAATGAGAGATGTAAAAAATATAACACTAGTATTAATGATATGATAATAACAATAGTGATAATATTAGCAATGATGATTATATGATGACGATGATGATGATAATGATTATTACTGTTATTATTATTATTATTACTGTTATTATGATTATTATTATTATTGTTGTTATTATTGTTATTATTATTATTATTATTATTATTATTATTATTATTATTATTATTATTATTATCATTATTATTATTATTATCATTATTATTATTATTATCATTATTATTATTATTATCAATATTATTATCATTATTATTATTATTATCATTATTATTATTGTTGTCATT